ACCATCGCGCATAGGGAGCCCACAAAGGACGTACGCGCCCAACTATGTACATGAACACGGCCCCTCGATTCGCGAGACCGGCCGCGTTATACGAACATTTGTGCAATGCGTGCTCTCGAAACCAGCGTGGACTCATGCACATGTACGTCCTTCTTTCGCTCCTGAGCGCAGGATCCTGCAGAATCCTGCGCGCAAAGCCAGGTCAGTGTACCTCTGGCCCTGCAGGATCCTGCAAGATCGGCGCCGACCCCCGCCCCCGGAGCCCCGATTCTGTGGACGGCCCAGCGAGGGCCCCCCCGGCTTAGGTCGGGCATGTTTCCCTACAGGCGGATTTTGGATGAAACGCTCATGCTTTCTCACAAGATAATGTTTTAGATAATAAAGAATGCTCCCCAAAATCGTCCCCTGACTTTTTTTAATACTGTTTTTGAATTCTCCTCCTGTAGAGGGACATGCCCCATTGAACCCCCGGCGGCAGAAGGCGGAGACAAGCCTCCGCATCGCGCTGACCGAGGCGTCGGGGGGTCTGGGCCTCAGCCCCTCCCCCAGCGCCCAAGTCCAAGCCCGCACGCCCATGCCCACGCCGACGCCCACCCCCACCCGCGCCCACGCCCCCGCCCGCGCCCACGCCCACCACCTCTGCGCCTCTCGCCCCCGCGTTGCGCACATGTCAGGGGGACGTAAGACCTGGGTACAGGGGACTCGGAAATCCCCGACGAGGTCGTCAAAAAAATGACTAGGCCAAGCCTGCATTTTGACGAGGCCTCCCGCTGCAGACATCCCACGAAACTCCTCCTCGTCAAAATCCGAGGCGCGGTCGTCAAAAAACGATGGCGAACCCGAGTCCTGGCAAACCCGGGTCTTACGCTCCCCCGAACATGGGGTCTGCGTTGGCTCCCAGGAGATGCCCATCCAAAGACTACCGTTGAACGCGCTGCGCCTCGGGTGCCACTTCTGCGTCGGGAGGGCGGGTGGGAATGGGCGAGACGGCTTGCGGGCGGGGATGGTATCTTGCTCCCACCCCCACGCTCTGGGGAAAACAAAAGACACCGATACCGCTAAGTATTCCCAGGACCTCTCCCGGGGTGCGTTCTGACCAGGATTTCGAGGCGAATCCAGCGGTGGCGACGAGGGCCTCCCAGGATATTCCAAAAAGGGAAAATGGGCGAAGGGTAGCGTTATGGGAGTCTTTCCCTCCTCCGACACCCACCCCCGCACCCACGCCCACGCCCACGCCCCCGAACGCGCCATGCTCCCAATGTGCTCCGCGTCCAGCTTCTCCACGGCGCCGGTGGCGTGGCCGGTGGCCAGCAGGGCCAGGCAGCCGAAGGCCAGGAGCGCGAGCCTTCTGGCCGGGAACGGCTCCTCCTGCGCCGGCGGGTTGCGCATGCCCCTCCCTGGGAGGAGGGATCGGATCGATCCAGCAGAAGAGAGCGTCAAACTCCGCAGCACCGTCAGGAGGAGGGCGGGAGGAGGGAGGAGGATGGAGGAGGAGGAGGGGGAGGGGACAGAGGGGGAGGAGGAGAAGGAGGAGGACGATGAGGATAAGGAGGATGAGGATGAGGATGAGGATGAGGAGGAGGAGGATTAGGATGAGAATGACGAGGAGGAGGAGGAGGACGAGGAGAGACACTCCCATGGAAGAGACGAGAAGAGGGCAGGCGGCCAAGAAACGGACGAGACGAGGGCAAAAGTCCATCCAGACGTCACCCCAAGATGGCGCCTACCGCCGGCGATCTCCTGGCCTTCTGCCTGAGACGGGCTCGTGCGAGGCGTCCGAACACGACAGTACACGTGTGGTAAGCCGAAAACGGCTTGTACCATGTCCATGGAACATGTACCATGTGTGGACGAAATCATGTCTCCGCGCTTGTAAAAGCAGGCTATGGACACGGGCGAGACCGAAGAGCCCGATGCGACCGGCAACCGAGGCGGAGGCGAACCAAGGGGGAAGGCGGGGGAAGCGAACCAATATCAAGTCTCAACACGGGCAGACATGATCGTGGAGAATATCATACCCAGCTACCCCAAACTGGCACCAGCGGCACCGTTTCGTGGGTTCCCGAAAACGGCGGGTGGTGCACCAGCTATTCGAAGACGCTCGTCTCGTTCACAACGAGCTGAAATGTTACACTTGTCCTGCAAATGCTCGTCTGCGCATTTTTGGAGAGAAGGTTGATCAACAAGGAGGCTGCGGAGGACGTCCAGGGCTCGGAAATTCCGACGCGTCTGGACCACGGCGCTGTTGCACCACGAGGAGGAGGAGGAGGAGGAGGAGGAGGAGGAGGAGGAGGAGGAGGAGGAAGAGGAGTACAAGTGGAAACCCAAGACGCATCACCGATGGTGCAATAACATCTCCCTCCAGGTTCGCTCGTCACACGTCCCTACAATAATACATCCCCATTGCGGGACAGGGCCCATTTAGAAGACAACCGTCCGTGCTGCGGATAGGAAAAATCAGATCGGCGGATGCCAGAGAGCTCGCCGTCGCTCGCCCTGCGCGTGACCGACGCGAGTTGACTCGAGGGGGTCCCCAGACATCCGACGTCTCGATTTTTTCGAGACACGGGCCCCCAACCTCCCGACCACTTCCCCGGGACCGGTTTTTCATCCCGAGTCGTTTTGTTGACGGCCCCGAGGCCCGGCGAGGGCCTCCAGAGGCCGAAAACGAGGAAAAACCTTGGTCTCGATTTGTTCGAGACGCCCGATGTCTGGGTCTGGGCAGGAGGGAAAGCGGCCGTCGTCAGCGCCCCTCAAACGGGGACTCCACTGACGGGTACTTTGGCCAGTGACCCAGCGAACCCAACCCTTCCCGATGCTGGCAACGCTGCCTTGCCAGAAAGAGGCCCTAAAATGGCAACTTTCGGCAAAATTGCAAAGTACCCGTTAGTAAGTACCCGTTGCGGTGCCGTTGACGTCGGCGCGAAAACCCCGCCCGCCGGCCCCCGCCGGGAGAGCCCGGGCGCTCCCTCTCGCGAGGGCGCCTGGCGCTGCCCTCGGCGGTCCGCCCCCCGGCCCTCGTCGGCCCTCGGCCGTCCCTCGGCCGGCCCTCGTCGTCGTCGTGGGCGGGGGGCGTCCAGTCCGCTCCTCCCTATCCCCTTCCCTCCTCCCCCTGTTCTTCTTATTTATCTTCTTTATCATTATCCTCTTTTCTTTTCATTTTTTCCTGTCTATTCCATACCTCCTCTCTCTCCTCCTCCTCTCCTCCCCTCTCCCCTCCTCTCCCCTCTCATCCTCCTCCCACACCTCCTCCTCCTCCTCCTCCTCCCTCTCCTCCTCCTCCTCCTCCTCCTCCTCCTCCTCCTCCTCCTCCTCCTCCTGCGACCTGATCCGTTCCATCCGGGCGGCATTCCTCGAGGCCTCGGCCTCTGCCTGTCGGCGACTCCGAAGGGTGTGGTCTGCAAAGGGTGTGGTTTGCAACTGGCGCCCTGGGGGGCACCCTGGGGGAACGGGCGGGGACCCCGACTGAGCTCTCCGCCGTGCCCCGAGGAGGCCCGACGAGGACGGCGTCGTGCCCCCCAGGTCCCCACGGCGCCGATCGCAAACCACACCCCGGCGTAACCTCACCCTTTGGGGCAGTGCAAAGGGGGGTCACCACCAGGGGGGTCGCCACTTCCTCGAGGAAACGCCACTTCCTCGAGACTTCCTCGAGGAACTGGGCCCCCCAGAGCCCCGAAAACGCAAAGAAACGTCCCAGAACATCCTCGACCCCTCGACTCTCCATCCTGGAGCCTCGACTTCCAGGAGAAGCTGGCGACGCCCCCAGTGGTGACCCCCCTTGGCACTGCCCGACCCTTCGCAGTCGCCTCTGCCTGGGCCCGCCGACGGGGCCCGGGGCAGGCAGCCAGGCCGACGAGCTGCCCCCCCAGGAAGGGAGGGGCCGAGGCCCCGCGCTCCTCCGAGGCTCATACGCCTCCTACTCCCTGTTGGGGTGCCTCCGCCCCTCTCTCTCCCCCTCTCCTCCTCCCCCTCCTCCTCCTCTCCTCCTCCTCACCTCCTCCTCTACCCCTCCTCACTCCCTCCCTTCCTCCTCCCTCCTCTCCTCCCTCCTCTTCCCTCCTCTCCTCTCCCCTCCTCGCTTCCTGCCTCCTTCCTCCTCCTGGAGGGCCCAACCTGTGCCTCATACTCCTCCTCCGCCTCTTTACTCTCCTACCTTCCTACTCCTCCATCCTCTCCTCCCTCCTCCTCCCTCCTCTTCCCTCCTCCCCTTCCTCCTCCTCCTCCTCCTCCTGAATCCTACCTCCATCAATTCGCCAGGATACTTTCCCCCCCTCCACCCGCCTACTCCTCCTCCTCCTCCTCCTCCTCCTCCTCCTCCTGGGCCCGCTCGACGGGCCTGGGGCGGGGAGCCAGGGCGGCTGGCTGCCCCCCAAAAGGAGGGAGCCCCCAAAGGGCGTACGCGCCCAGCTATGTACATGACCACGGCCCCTCGATTCGCGAGACTGGCCGCGTTGTACAGACATTTGTGCAATGCGTGCTCTCGAAACCAGCGTGGACTCATGCACATGTACGTCCTTCTTTCGCTCCTGAAAGAGGAAGGGGTCGAGATCCAGGCCTCGGAAAAGAACAGCGAACACTCGTGCCACATTCATCTGTCAACGCCTCCCCCTCCCCCCAACCGTCAAAGTTGGCGGTGGGTCTGATGCGTCGGCCCAACTTTGAGTTTGGGGGGCAGAGGGGGGTGTTTACTAATTTTTTTTCCTCTACCGTCTCTCCGGGGCCGCGGACGGAAAAAGTTGGACAGATCGGCGGGTGCCAGAGACGGGGGGGGTCGCCAAGTCATGGCCCGAGGCACGTGGGCGGGCCACGTAGGGGAGCGAGCGATGACATAAACATGAAAGCTCGGAGGTCCGCGCGGATTTCTCGGATCGGCGCTGGAGCCCCCTGGCGGCGCCTCCGGCGCCGCCCCTGGCGCGCTCCGCGCGCCAGGGAGGGGGGTTCCAGCGCCGATCCGAGAAATCCGCGCGGACCTCCGAGTTTTCATGTTTATGTCACCGTTCGCTCCCCCCACCAAGGGGGAGGGAAGGGGGGGCGGGCGGGGCGGGGGGGCGGGGCAGGGAACGTGCCAAGAGAGGAGGAGAAGGGGGGGCCGTGACATCCAGGGAGAGACCTCGGAGCCCTGCCCACGGTATCCAACACTCACCTTGTCCTTGTCCCCCCCCCTCCGCCCCTTTCAAGACATCCCGACGTCATCGTTTTTTCGAGACACGGGCCCCCAACCTTCCCCCACGACACTTCCGGGACCAGGTTTTTCATCCCGAGTTCTGGTTTTTAAAACCCGGGGTTTTTTTTTTCCCGAGGCCCGGCGAGGGCCTCCAGGGGCCGGAAACGACGAAAAACCTTTGTCTCGATTTTTTCGAGACGCCCGAGGTCTGGGCTTTTGGACCCCCCCCATCCGTGCCCCGAGGAACCCGTCAGGTCGATGGTCTCTCGAGAGGCGGGCCGATTGGGCGTGGCTTCATGGGGGGGTCACAAATGGGGGGGTCAGAAAAGGTCCCCTTTCGTGCCCCTTTCGGGCCCCTCTGGACCCCCAGGGGGCTCGTTTAGGTACCGTTTGGGTACCTTTTCGGACCACCCTCACCAACCCCCCATTTATGACCCCCCCATTACGCAACGCCCAAGCCGAAGCCGACGGGCCCCCCCCGGGGGGGGGGCTGTGAAGCTGCTGCCGCGAGGAGCGGCGAGGGAGGAGCGGCGCCCCTCTTTTGTGGCCCCCGGCTGCGCCTCGATGCGCGGCGAGCCCCGTGGAAATCCATAAGTGAAGGGGCCCTGGGACACACAAATAAATACACACAAATAACATAAACCCCCATATTTTCCTATATTTTCGTGATTTTTGCCTTCCCGCCCAATTCCCATATTTTCCCATATTTTCGGGGGAGTCGACGATTCATTGTGTCTGTGTGTTTTTTTCCCTCCTGAATAAGAAGCAGAGGCCCCCTGCCGAACCCGAGCTGCTCCTGCTCTCGGCGTCCCCCCGGGCATCCGAGGCACCAGTCGGACCATCCGCGGCCCCCAACCCAGACATGCGAAGTCCTGTTTTTTTCAGGACGGCGTCCCCGCAAGTCCCGACCCTTTCCCCGGGACCGGTTTTTCGTCCTGAGTCGTTTTTTGACGGTCCCGAGGCCCGGCGAGGACCTCTAGAGGGCGAAAATACCCAAAAACCGCCCGTCCTGATTTTTTTACGACGCCATCATGTCTGGGAAGGGGTCTCGACTCCTGCCCCAGGCGTGCTCTGGCGCCCCATGGCCCCTTTCTGGTGGCCCCCGGGGCCCAGGAATGGCCCCCGGGGGCCGACGTGGAAGATTAACGACGCGGGGAGGCGGCATCCCCCCCCCGGTGGCCGGGGGAGGGAGAGGGAGAGGCATGGCGGGGAGGATCGGGGGCGGCCAAGAGGGGGGTGTCCAAGAGGGGGGGGTGCAAATCATGACCGGCGGCATGTGCGCGGCCCAGCGGGGGGGCCAGGGACGTAATGAAACAAGAAGAGGCGCCATGAAATCTGAGAAATATCATGGCCCCCGCCATGATATCCACCCCCCCCTAGTCATCGCCCCCCTCTTTGCCGCTCCCGAGAGGAGAGGGCACGGGAGGCAGGGAGGGGGGAGGGCACCGGAGGGGGAGCCCTGCGATCCGACGTCGCGAAAAAGAATGGAAACCTCGCGAGCAATCACGACCAGAGCCCTATCAGACCCCCCCCTCTCTGTGCCCTTTGTCGCGCCGGATCGCCCTGTGAGGCTCCCGTGGCCCGGAACCGGGCGACGACGCCCGGCTCGAGCGAATGAAGTCGCCAGGACCGCAGGAGGGGAGCTTGCCGTCGCTCGGATGCCCATTTCCCGTGCATTTTTCGGCTTCGTGCGTGCTTTTTGTTGCTCGATGGTCCAGGATGGCCCTCGATGGTTCTCGCCGCGAAAAGAAATGCACACGTCCGAGCGGTGCCGGGGCAGGAGGGGAGGGAGAGGGGCGACGGGCTGGGGGAGACGCGGGGGCTTTCGCTCGGGCCCAGACCCCCTCGAGTCATGAAAACATCACGACGGAAGGTTTTTCTATATTTTCCGCCTCTGGGGGCCCTTACCGGCCCTCGGGACCGTCAAAAAACAACCCAGGATAAAAAACCGGTCCCGGCGAATAGGTCCGGACCTCTGGGGGTCGCGTCATGAAAAATCATGACGTCGGGGGTCTGGGGGCCCCAGACATCCGACGTCTCGATTTTTTCGAGACACGGGCCCCCAACCTCCCGACCACTTCCCCGGGACCGGTTTTTCATCCCGAGTCGTTTTTTAACGGTCCCGAGGCCCGGCGAGGGCCTCCAGAGGCCGGAAACGAGGAAAAACCTTTGTCTCGATTTTTTCGAGACGCCCGAGGTCTGGGGCCCGCGCGCGGCCGCGGCCCGGCCGCGGCCTCGGGGGCGGGGTCGTCGCCCGTGAAGTAGCCGCCGCCGGCGCGGCCGGGCGCGCTGGCCGGCGGCGCCGGCTCCGCGGCCTCGCCCCTCGCTGCGGGCGCCTGCGGGGCAGGCCGCTGCCCCGGGCCCGACGAGGGCCCCCTGTGGGCCTCCGGCTCTGGGAGAGGCTCGACGCGCTTTGGCTGTTGCGTGCTCGCCACGCTCGCCCTCGCCGGAGCCCTCGCCATGGGGGGCCACACGCGAACCCTACCCCTACCCCCCCACGATTTCTGAGGGGTGGGCATATAGGGGGCCACATGCGAACCCTACCCCTACCCCCCCACGATTTCTGAGGGGTGGGGTGGGGTTCACTTCTTCGCTCGGGAGCTCCCGAGCGAAGTGAACCCTCCCCCCTCCCTCAGAATCGGGGGGAGGCGATAGGGGTAGGGTTCGCGGGGGGGGCCCACCAAAATTTTGTTGTGGCCACCTCTACTCACTTAGTCCTCTCCACTTACTTTCCACTCCCAGACATCCGACGTCTCGATTTTTTCGAGACACGGGCCCCCAACCTCCCGACCACTTCCCCGGGACCCATTTTTCATCCCGAGTCGTTTTTTGACGGTCCCGAGGCCCGGCGAGGGCTTCCAGAGGCCGAAAACGACGAAAAACCTTTGTCTCTATTTTTTCGAGACGCCCGAGGTCTGGGTCCTCCTCCTCCTCCTCCTCCTCCTCCTCCTCCTCCTCCTCCTCCTCTCGAGGAGCGGCTCGGGCCGGAGAGCCGGCCCCGGGGCCCCGCGGTGGGGAGGTCGAGGCAGCGGACGCCTGGGGCCAGAGCCCCGGGCCCTGCGAGGGCCCCCAAAGAGGCCGCGGCCCCGAGGGTCGGGCCTTCCCAGATCCAGACCCCCTCGAGTCATGAAACATCACGACGGGAGGTTTTTCTATATTTTCCGCCTCTGGGGGCCCTTATACCGGCCCTCGGGACCGTCAAAAAACAGCTCAGGACGAAAAACCGGTCCCGGGGGATGGGTCCGGACCTCTGCTCCTCCTCCTCCTCCTCCTCCTCCTCCTCCTCCTCCTCCGTCTCCTCGTCACTGGCCCAAGTGGAGTCCCCGGGATGTCTGGGGGGGCCCAGGCGGTCTCCAGAGCACGCCATCTCGCGAGGCCCGCGGGTGCTCCGAGATGGAGCGACAAGCTGGGGACAGCCCCGTCCACCCTGCCGCTCGCGCTTCGGAGGGTGGAGAGCCGACGGATCCCCCCTCCTTCTGGCGCCGGCAAACGACGACCGCGGCGACGACGACGACGACGGCGACGACGACGACCACGACGGCGGCGACGACGGCGACGAGGAACGACGACCACGACGGCGACGACGGTGAAGACGGCGGTGGCGGTGACGACGACGACGACAACGGCGACGACCACGAGAATGAGGACGAACGACAGACGACAGAAGACGACGACGACGATCACAACGACCACGACGATGACGACGACGATGACGACGACCACGACGACGACGACAACGACCATGAGCACGACCACGACGACGACAACGACGACGACGAAGACGGAACGGCCTGGAGGGTTCGCCGGGCAAGGCGGACGGGCCGACAATACACGAACGGTACACGGACGACGGACGACGAACGACGACGACGACAACGACGACGGTGGCGACGCCGACAACGACGACGACGATCATTTTAAGACTGCTTGTTATTTCTGGCACGCGTGTTTTGCAATTCTGTATACCACAACCCTCGATACCCGCCCACTTCATCTTCGATCGCACCACCGTTCGGGGGGAATACTCCAGATTTCGTAAAAAAAGGGAGGGGGTCTGGACCCTCCCAGACGAGCCATTTCAGACCCCCCCCCGTGGGAGAACCCTCCAAAACGTCGTCCCCAGACCCCCCCAGGCCCTCCGAGATGGCCTGGAAGAGACCCCCCCCGAAATGAGACCCCCCTCCCTTTTATTACGAAATCTGGAGTATCCGCCCACTTCATCTTCGATCGCACCACCGTTCGGGGGGAATCTCTTCCGTGTCGGCCATTGACTGAAGTGCGCACTCTCGAGCGAGAGCGCCGCTCCTGAGTGGGCCTCTCTGGCCAGGCCAGGGGCTCTCGGAATACAGATTGAGAAATATCGAGCGGGAGCCCGTGTCGCCGAGTCTGGGCCTGCCTCTCTGGCCAGGCCAGGGGCTTTCGGAATACATATTGAGAAACATCGAGCGGGAGCCCGTGTCGCCGAGTCTGGGCCTCCACCAACTTGCCTGAGTTACGAGAAAATCTCGAGCGAGAGCGCCACTCTTGAGTTCGGGGGCCTCTCTGGCAAGGGCCTCCGCGAGTGCATCTTGAGGAAGTATCGAACGGTAGCGAACGGGAGCCCTTGTCGTCGAAGTTGGGCCTCCACCAATTTGACTGAATCATGAGAAAGTCTCGAGCGAGAGCGCCGTTCCTGAGTTCGGGGGCCTTCCTTGCCAGGGGCTCTCGAAGTAAATCGTGAGGAAGCATCAAGCAGGAGCCCTTGTCGCGTTGCTGGGGCCAACTCGCTTGAATTGCGAGGAGGCCTCGAGCGAGAGCGCCGTTCCTGAGTTCGGAGGCCTCTCTGGCCAGGGTGGTTCGGGGTTAAATTGTGAGGAGATGTCGATAGCCGTGCCTCCGAGGGCCCCTCTCTACACTCAAGCCAACGCTCGAGCGGGGACCTCGTTTTCAGAGAGACTGTCGCCGGCGTCGAGGCGAGAGCGCCCGGAACCGCTTCCGGAGATCTGACAGTCATAAGTCTCTAGAAGGGAGCATTCCACGAGAGTGCGGACGAACGACGGACGACGACGAAGACGACGACGGCGATCACAACGACCACGACGATGACGACGACGACGACGACGACGACGACCGTGGCCACGCCCACGACGACGACACCGACGACGACGACGAAGATACCGACGACCACGACGACGAAGACAACGACGACGACGACGGGACGGCCTGGAGGGTTCGCCGGGCAAGGTGGACGGGCCGAGAGGGTGCCGCATCGGGGGAGGAGGGCGGACCACGGAGAGGCCGCGGGGGCGGGCGTCCAAGCGGGGGGCGTCGGACAAGGGGGTTTCCACTAGGGCTCCCAACTTCGCGCTTCGCGCTTCGCGCTGCGCGAAGCGCGAATAACTTCGCGCTCTCGCGCCGCCCTCCCAAAGGGAGAATAGGAGGACGAGGAGGAGGGGGAGGAGAAACGAGGACCGCGAAGCGCGAATAACTTCGCGCCCTCGGGGGAGCCCTTGTAACAAGGGGGTTTCCAGGGTCCGCGGGGGTGGCCCAAGGCGCGTGCGCGGCCAAAGGGGGGGTGGGGCGGTTCAATAGACGTATGGGCAAAAGAAGAGGGGGCCGTGAGGTCTGGGTGATATCATGTCCCCGCCATGGTATCCATCCCCCCTGGACATCGCCTCCCGGATCGCCGCCCCCGAAACGGGGGACGAGGCAGAGAAAACACTTTTCGCGGATTCGAGGTAACCATTATGGGGGACGACCCACCCGCTCACATCAGGATTCGCGCTGGCGCTTTCAGGGAATGGCCCCTCCTCCCCCCCATGATATCCGACAGTCCGATGTTCCCCGAAACTGCTTCTCTGTAGAAGGGCTTCCTCTCAGAAGCGGGAAGGTGCGCTGCAAAACTCGCAGTCGGGCCCGCGACGTTGTCTCCCGTTGTCTCTGATTGACTCCCGTTGTCTCACACCCACACCCTAGTCACATCACGATTCGCGCTGGGAGCCGTCTGAGAATGCCCCATCTTCCTCACGGAACATCCGCCGAGGATATCCGGGGGATATTCGGAGGAGTGCTGCAAGCGTCACCGTGCAGACCTGTCTCGGCGTGCGCTCTGGCCAAGGCTTCGGAAGGAGTCCTACCGTGGCGACGACAACGCCCCAGCAAGGCCCCAATCGAGAACAACGTGTGAACCCGAACCTCGAGGAAGGGGGCGACGAGGAAGAGGAGGAGGAGGAAAAGGGCCAACGTAAACCCACGACGCATATATGGTGTTGCAATCCACGCTCCAAGTTCCCTCTTCATGTGCTGGTATAAGAAAGTCTGTTCATAGCTGCCAGTGCCTGATTGGAAGACAATCGCCTGAGGATCCCCAGTCGTGCCGAGAAGACAGTCCTAGGACTGCAACGCCACGGATTAACGCGACTGGTGCGGCCTGACAATCTGAAACCGTGCTGCGAAAACCATTCCTAGGACGCCGACACCGCGAATCAACACAAATGCTGCGTCCTAGCAATCCTACAGCGTGTCATAATGCTAGTCTTGTGACTTCAACCATACGAATCCTTGAGACTGCTACGAACGTTTACAGAGGAGTGCGCGCGGCGCTCAATCGAGAACCACTGTTTGAAAAAAAAACACACACCCTCCATCCTTGAAGCTGCTGCGCATTTTGAACAAGAATGCAAACGGCACTAAAACGAGAATCGTATGTTGAAACCTGGCCGTCCTCCATTATTGAAGCTGTTGCGAACTATTAGGGCGAATATGCCCGGCGCTAAGGCGAGAGCCAAACTTTGAAAACGCTCCGCCTTCCAGCCGCGAGACCGTGGCAAACTTTTGAGACGAGCACGCGCGCGCTAGAGCGAGGGCCACATCTTGAAAACGCCCGGCCCGCCCTATCGACACATCGGGGGGTGCGACATGGAGGAGTTCTTCTCTTGCACGGGGTGTCTAGAGCTCCGACCACTGTACACCCTGCGAAATGCTTAAGAAATCATGGGTTAAGAAATTCATCGTCTCAGATCTGGAATAAAAACCAAACGTTCCTATCAAAATCTTAGGAATTAAATTGAATCAGTAAGAATAATCGAGACTCTGGCCGAAAACTTAAGTTTTCTTAAGCATCGCCTAAGGTGTATTCCACGTCGCACCGCCCGCCCTCCTGCCCCGCCCCCCTCCTGCCCCTCCCCAGCTCTCCCCGGAGGCCCAATGGAACCTTCGCCCAGTGCCCCGTCCGCACCGACCATTTTATTCAGCGTCGCACCGCACCCGCCCTCCCTCCGCGGCCCCCCTCCCACCCCTCCCCAGCATCCCCCGTCCGCCTCGCCCCCCTCCTACCCCTCCCCAGCGTTCCCCAGTG